GGCGGCCCCTCGCGGCACCCGCGCACCCCGGCGCCCGCCCCCTGCGCCGCTGGCAGAGCCCCCTAGGGACAGCGCCGCTGGGACCTCGGGCAGGGCCCCGCGGGAAGCAAAGAGCAGGCATGTGGCCCCCGCGCGGAGCCGCTTTCCTCCTGCTGCACCTGGCCCTGCAGCCGTGGCTAGGGGTGGGCGCCCAGGCCACCCCCCAGGGTAAGTGGGCTCGGGCCGGCACGGGACGACCTCGGTCCCTCCACCACTGGAAGCGGTGATGAGAGCCTAGACGCTTCTGAAGTTCTATTCTCCCGCGATGAGACCAGTTCCCTAAAGGATAGTTTGGGGGATGCAAACTTGTTTTCAGTCCATGCAAAGATGTGGGATTTGCTTCATATCTTGCCACACGGGCCTAGACCTCTCACACGTAGTGTCTGTTGTGGGATGAAATCCGGCTTCTGTCCCTACAACCCCTTCCCTCCACTTGCCTTGCCCCCAGAATTCTTCTGCAGGCGGGAGCGATGCTCCCCAGAGCCAGGCCCACATCAGAACCGCGGGCCCCTCTATGGCCCTGTCACCCTGTCTTTGCTCTGACTTTGCTTGGGCCCTCAAGTCAAAGCCTCTTTCCGGAGTTCTTGATTCTTGATTTCTTGATTCCAGCCCTTGATAAATAGTAAGGGCTGAGAAATGAAAAGGTAAAAATTCAGTATATACACCTGATGATTCTAGACCCCCTTTGTGTGATAAGGTGAAAATAGCCCCTGGGCCAAAAGTACTTACAGTTAAGTAGAAATTGTTGTAAAGACCAAAAGGAAAAAATGATTTAAGCAAGAAAAGATCTTAGAGTTCTAACTGGCCCCAACTGATCACTGATGACTTAAATCTTTTGGAACATGTTGCCTTGGTTGATTTCTTACTAAGGGTATAAAATGGAAGAGACTGATAACTTGCAGTGAAAGCTGTTATTCCTCTTGAAGCCAGAGCAAAGAATGCATCCCACGGCGGCAATGACCCATTTAAACTTTGCCTTTCACCAAATAACTCTTTTTGATCCCAGATCAAGCAACCAGAATTGTGATTTTCAGGTACTGTATTGCTAACTTTTAGTTTGGGATTGAAATATTTGAAATGCTATAGTCTGCACTAGGCATCATGCCAGCGCTTCTAGAAAAGTAAGAAAGGGAGTTTCTTAACACAAATCAAAATTTTCTTCTATCAGATGTTACTGGGTAGGTTTGAATTTATGGGTATAATATTTCGTGTTATGTAAATTCTTGATATTTGAATACACAATTTCAGGGTGTGCCTTAGGTATGGATCCTGCTGCTTTTAAGACCTGATCATTTTATGGAGATTTGAACTCAGGTTACATGACCTAAATTATCTGGTTAATTTAGTTGGTATAGATGATCTGATTCATCAAGTTTCTGATAGATTCTTTTGTTGAGTTATCTAGTCTGCAGTTATCAGCTGGAGAGAATAATTTGCTTATCTCCTTTTCCGTCTGAGCCGCATTGCTAGTTTTCAATTAGCATGTGTTCAGTTTTTATACCATGGTAGCTGGGCTCATTGATAGCAGTAATTTCAACTCTAACACTAAAGAGTTGTGCTTAGATCCTGATGCTTTTACTAAAACAGAGCAACATTAACAGAAAAGGGTAGCGTTCCTTTTCAGAACACTCTATGTTCATTACAATTCTAATACTGCCTCTTGAGAAAGAAGCAAACGGATCAGACGATAGATTGAAATCCAGCAAGTTTATCTCTAGTTAAATTATGGACTCAATAATGGTCAAAGCAAAAAGGAGTATAGTTTTGAAGGCAGTTCCCTTAAACACATTTTTCTTTTCTGAAGGTGTCTTGTCCTGAATGGAAATTTTAAACATATTGCCTTTTTCCTCTTTGTCCTCGTTGGTGAAAATGTAAAGTTTCCAATTCTCTGAAAATTAAAAAACCCAGTTTTCTTTTTGAAATGCAGAAGGTAACCATCTTCATGGTTTGGGGATGTGGGCACCAGGGGGAACACAATAGTGTTCTGCTTTCTAACATGTCTGGCAGTAAATACATTGTTGTGTAAGGTTCTCTGATGGATATGGAAAACAACAGAGATCTAGTTTGAAGACAAATTTTCTTTTAAAAAAGAGTAGACACTCTTGAGTAACTAGGTTTTTGCTTGTGTGTTTTAAAATTATATTAATTTTTGTTTTATTACAAAAGCAGAACCTATTTATTGTAGAAAAATAGAAATTAGATAAGCAAAAAATAAAATAAAAAATGAAATAAGAAATTTAAAACTTATAATTATACAACTCAGAGATAGCTTCTATTAATTTTAGCACATTATTGTACTGTCTTTTGTTTCAAATATTTGATATATTTCAAATGGGATTATGTTATACCTATAGCTTTGTTATCTCCTTTTCTTTATATATCATGAACATCTTTCCACATCTGGTAAGTATTCAATTACATTTTGAAAATAAGTAGTATTCTGCTTTTTGAAAGGATCAAAATGTATTAGTCAGAGCCACAATATAAGATCCTTAAGTGATTTCCATTGTTTTAATATTATAAATAATAATGTATTGAACAAGTGCAGTGCCACAAGATGGCTTGGCGTGGCTGTAACCAACCTCTCAATCTGTGCCAAGCCCTTCTTTCTTTGCTAAGGACAGTTCGTTTTTTCATAGCAAAGTGCTATGCTAACAGAGTTTCAGATTTACCCTTCTTCCAATTTGATTTTTTTCACTTAATTTTTTTCTAAATAGAAAGTCTAGATATGCCACTAGTGGTGAATAGCCTTGTACCTAAGTCATTTATCATATTATCCATTATTTCCTTAGGACAAATTCCTACAAGTAGAATTGCTAGATCAAATAGTGTGTTTGTTTTAGAGCTGCTGATACTGTTGTTTAAACTATCTTCAAAAATGTTTATACTAGTTTAGATCTTACCAAGTGATAGATGAGAGTGCCTATTTCCCTGAACCCTCACCAATACCTGGGTATTATGATGTTGATTAGGTTTCCAATTTGGTGGTGAAAATAATTTCTTATTGTTTAATTGAGCATTAGGTAAATTCATAAACATTTATCTATAAACTTAATGATCATTTGTAATTCTGTTTCTGTAAATTGCCGTTTCATGTTTCTTACCTATTTTTCTATTAGTATGCTTATCATTTTACTGCTTTGTAAGAGCTCTTTATAAATTACCAATATTACCCTATTAATAACCAGATTGTTGTATCCAAGAGACAGCTGTAGGTGCTGAAGTTTCTGCAGGCTGTGAAATTGTTTATATCATATTTGAATAAACTAATGGAAATACTAAGTAACTTCTAGTATTACCCAGACTTGGCCTTTGTCTTTTAAATGGTGCTGGACATACTCTCTTGGAGCTTTCACAAATATTATTAAGCTTTTGAGAGAAAGTGCTGCTTGCTTGGTCAAAAGCAACTTTTACAAATACAAATGCAGATTCTAATGTTTGTAGACCAATTCTCAGTCAAGAAATGGAAACCACATAATTTTGTTTTGTTTTGTTTCTACATTGGGTTTTTAAAATTTGTTTTTAAACAGAGAAACATTGGAGAATTGTAAAAGCACAAAGGGAACACTTGAGTCTCACAAAGGTAGCACATTTTCTGACAGTGTGTTTACCACCATATCCACAATTTCTACTGCATGCCCTGTCATTTGTCACTGACCAGGAAAATACAGTTGGCTCTTCTTGGAGGTGCATAAGGGACTCCATGACAGAAATCACTGCTTGGGGACATAAGTAAAACAATAACTTGGATACTTTCACTAGTTCCCCTTGTACTTTACGCCTTTAGTGTTTTTTCCTAGTGGGCATTTTCAGAGTCACTTGTAAGCCAGATCCAATTTTGTGTTTGCAAGTTTAGTCTTCTCTTGAGAACTGTGCCCAGTGATGAATTTTGTGCTATATTTCTCTTGGTTCAAATGTCTAGTTGCTATAACAGTGACAAGGAAGAACTATTGGGTCTGGCAATGTGGAAAAGAGATTATAAGACTAGCTTACATTACTTTGTGGCTTATTGTCAAATTGTCCTCCCTCCAAAATGTTTGCCCCAAAGTTGAATATTTCACTGACTCCTTGCTTTCACCCTTTTACCCAGTCTTTGATCTTCTCCAGTCCTTTGGTCAGAGGCCGAACCCAGGAGTTCTGCTGCCAGTCCTGACGGACCCCACCCTGAATGATCTCTATGTGATTTCCACCTTCAAGTTGCAGACTAAAAGCTCAGCCACCATCTTTGGCCTTTACTCTTCAACTGACAACAGCAAATATTTTGAATTTACTGTGATGGGACGCTTAAACAAAGGTAAGCAAATTTTCAGAAATCATTTTCTTAAAAATGGCCTTTTTCTATGCCAGGATTGGAACCTGTTCTCCTTAAGATGGTTCCCTTGTACAATTTTTTTTCCTCACACACTGTTTATTTCTGTTTTCAATATCAAAGTATTCTTACTGTACATTTTCATATACAGAAAGGCAGGATAGTGAAGGAGGTGATATTGGGAGAAAAAAATGAAGAATTGCTTGTGGCCAAGATGCATTTTGACATTGTCCCATCCTCATGTTATTCTGAACCCAGGTCTGGAAGGGATAGGACCCAGGACAATTAGGCCATTGTCTTAGCTTAGGCCACTATGAAAAAATAGTGTAAACTGGTAGCTAAAACAACAGACATTTATTTGTCAGAATTCATGGTGCTGGCTATCTTAGTCTGTTTCGTGTTGCCATAAAAGATTACCTGAGATTGGGTAATTTTTATTTTATTTTAAAGATGTGAGGTACAAGTCAGGGTTAGGTACATAATTGGTCATTGTATAGGTAAAATTTGGGCCTCTCCTTGGTCCGCACTTCGTCTGGTTTGAGATTGAGTACCCTTATTGATGTTATTTGCCCTCCCCCCGGCAGTGTCCCACTACTGCCAATCTCTTTCTTTTAGTATTATGATAAATGTTCAGGGTCCACTTATGAGTGAGTACATGTAATACTCAGATCTTTGTTTCTGTGCTAGATCAGTGAGTATTATAGACTCAAAATCCATCCAACTTGCTGTGAAATCTATGTTTTTGTTTTCCTTTATGGTTGTGTAATAGTCCATCATATATATATGCCATGTTTTCTTTATCCAGTCTACTTTTGGTGGGCAGCACAGTTGGTTCCATGTTTTTGCTATTGTGAATAAGGCTGCAATAAACACGTGTGTGCAGGTCTTTTTCTTATAAAATGATTTGAGTTCCTCTGGGTATATTCCCAGAAGTGAGATTGCTGGACCACATGGAAGGTCAATTTTTAGATATTTTAGAAACTGTCACACTGTTTTCCATAGAGGTTGTAGTAGTTTACACTCTCATCAGGAGTGTAGAAGCATTCCCTTTTCTCTACATCCTCTCCAGCATTTGTTGTCTTTTGAGTTATTGATGATGGTCATCCTGACTGGAGAAAGTAAAGATGTTTATTTAGCTCACAGTATGGCAGTCTGAGAAGTTTAAGGGTATGGCTCTGGCTTCTATTGAGGGTTTTCCTGCTGCACCACAACATGGTAGAGAAGGTCAAAGAGGAAGCACATGCATGGGAAGAGGAGAAAATCTGAGGAGGTTCCTGGCTTTACAACAATCTACTTTCTTGGGAGCAAATTCATTCCTCTGAGAACTAATCCAGTCTCACAAGAGTAAGAATGTCCTCATTACCCAGAGAACAACATCAAGCCATTCATGAGAGATCCACCCCTATAACCCAAACATCTCCCACTAGCCCCAAGTTCCAACACTGCCACACTGGGCATCAAATTTCAGCATGATTTTGGTGGGAACAAACAAACCATATGCAAACCACGGCACCAGAAGATTTGATTCCTAGTAAGGACCCACTTCCTGGATTGCAGATGACCATCTTTTTATTGTATCTCCTCACGGTGGAAAGAGAGCAAGCTCTCTGGTGCCTCTTCTTATATGGGCACTATTCCCATTACGAGGGTCCCCCCCTCAAGATCTCATCTAAACCTACTTATCTCTCAGAGGCCCCACCTATAAATACCATTACATTGAAGAGTAGGAGTTTAATATATGAATTTTGGCAACACATAGCAGACACCCCACATCACTCTAATGTTCCCTTGGAAGCCCATGGCTTAGCAGGCCTAACGACTATCTCTATGATGAAGGGAAGTACCTCACCCAGCAGAACAGAATGAGCAGCTCTTTTCTACCTGTGTGTGCCAGTTGACACAGGCTTGTCACTGGTTTGAGCCCACTGTGTCATCCTTTTTGCTGCCATAGTAAGTTATTATATGCACTAAGAAATGACTCCCAAAGAAAATGGTCACTACTTTTCGTTGTCTTCCTCTCCACCCATGCCCTGGGGACAACACCTGTTCCTGTTTATTGAGGAATGTGACAGATGTGCGTTCGTGCAGCCTCATGTGTTTAATAAAACAGGAGGATTGGTCCTTCTGGCTGGGTTTTATTATTTGTTTCAGTTCGCTTTACAAAGTAGACACTTCCCAGTGTTTCAGACTCACTTTTAGATCCTATTAATACTTGTGATTGGAAAGGACCTCCTAGATCTTAGGTTTCATAGAACTATAGAATTAAAAACAAAAAGGAATGGGACTTTAACCACTTCTTTAATGTCAAATTCCAGTGCGTGCTTCCCTCCTCCCATCTCACCGCCAACTCTTCTTTCTCTGCCTGTGCCTCATGACCTCTCGGGGCTGTGGGAGATTTCAGATAATACAGTGAGTCTGGGAACATGGCCAGCAGGTGGGTCAGCCCCATTCCCGCCCTCTTTGCCCATCTTCAACCCTGGTGAGAGCTGATTCTGCCAATCCTTTTGCCTTGAATGAAACAACTCTGTTTTGTCTGATGTCTATTGAAGGAATTGCTCCTCTTTTCACAGCCCAGCTACTCAGTTTGTGATCTGTAAAAATCACCATTCATCTGTAGATCAGTAGCTTCTCCCTAACCGTCTATTTTAGAGGGACTGGAAGATTTTTCTTTTGGTTCATCCAACTTACTGGCTAGAAAATCCTTCATAAAGTGAAAAACTCTGCTCCTGGCTTTTCATCCTCACTGTATCTTATCCTCTATTTCTAAATTGGCCAGTATATGTGAACTCACTGTGGAAAGTCAATGTTGCTGGGATACACAAGGCAGCAACTTCCCCTTCACTGATTCTTCCAGTTTACTCTATGCAGGCAAGAATAACACTAGATATATGGGTAGTAGGTAAGAGGGTTGTTTGTGTGTTTCCTCTGAAGAATTGCCGGTACTGTGAGCCAGCGGGTTGAAATATTTGGGGAAAGAGCCAGACTCAGTAGCATGAGTCTACAGTCCTAGCTACTTGGGAGGCTAAGGCAGGAGAATTGCTTGATCCTGGAAGTTCAAGACCAGCATGGGCAACATAAGGAGAGTTCCCCATTTCTTACAAAAAAGAGCTGTTTATGGGAAAAGGTAAGAGTTGAGATGAAGGGTTGAAAAATGAACACCTCCTCACCCTCCCAACTATTAGGAATGATAAATAGTTCTTAGAAAATATGGGGGTTGGAGAGTTCTGGAATAATCTGGAAATGAGAAATCTCATAAGGTAAAGAGGAATTTATACTATTTTTAGAGCTTGAAGAATTGAAGAATGTAACACAGAGAAGTTATTTCACTAGAACAATGGGAAAAGTGCAAAGATCTGCCATCACTGGTGAATATGAAAACTCTAGGAAGGAGCGGAAGCCCATCTTGCATTGGGGTCATCAGGTCCAAGGAAAAGCCAGCGCATGTGGTTGTGACTCCCCATGGAGGTGCTTCATGATGGCCATGCTGGCCTGATGAAATTTAGGGAAGGAGGGGCAAGAATTATTTTCCTTGATGGTAAGCTCCAGACTTCAGTCAACTGGCTAAGGGTCAGCCCATCTCTTCTTCTGTTGATTTGCATGGGAAACAGAGAAACAAAAGACATCACATGTATCTCTACTGACTTAAAACACCGGAGTAGGATGAAAAACACATCCTTCCCTCCGTTAAAGTCCATTTGGGAGAGGAGGAAGTTGATCACACAGAGACTATCCGAGAGCAGGAGTTGGTTGTCTGGGCCCCAGATGAGCTCCTGGAACAAACTAAAGCGTAGCTAATGAAGACTGCCAAAAAGGAGTTTGTCACTGATCCCTCTGTTTCCGGTCTCACCCTCTCCAAGTCATTCTGTCCAAGGTCGCCTCATTACTGTTCACAAACACAATTTAGATCAAGTTACACCTGACCCCAGAGACCTCTAGTGGCTCGCTTTCTGCCTCAGATGGGCATTCGGGCTTCCAGAGTATAGCCCCAACCAGCGTTTCCAGTGTGTCCTTCCCTCCATGCAGCCATGCTTCTACTAGATGGCTGGTACCCTTCCCACTTCTGCTGCCTCTCCTCTATCCTTCTACTCCTACCTTCTGCTCCCCTGTGTTCCACACATTCTATACCATCTTCCGACAAAAAATCTTATAAATTCAAGACCCATCTCAAACTCCTTCTGATATTTTTCCTAATCTAACTTTATCCTCTTCAGAAAGGCACTAATCTTAGCTCACCTCATACTTGAATTACTTCTGGGTCTTGTCTCCATTTGGTTGTGAGCTACCGCAAGGCAGGGAATGAACATCCCTCATCTTTGTATCTGTGGCAGCATATAGCACAGTCTCTTGTACGCAGAAGTGGTTCATGGACAGACTGGAAAGAATACCTGGAAGATGAGAAGAGTAGCTTGTTTGTTAAAGAAGTCATGTACCATTGTGGGAATTCTGGAATTCCACAATATCTGACACATAGTAGGTGCTCAAAAACATTTTTTAAATGGATGAATGTTAAAGACCTTTTGACTGAGGATATAAGATATACAAGTAGTATTTCTGGTAAAAATGATCTGTCAGATTATTAGTGATACAGGTAGTATAAACTTGATAGAAATAAGTATATTGGTGTGCGAGTCTGGGGGTCAAGTGCACCTGTGTTGTTCGCAAGCACCTCTGTGGTTGTGGGTTCCTAATTTGCCTGGGTCTCTAAGTGCTCCTTGGGGCTGGAGCTGAGAGCTTCAGATCTCTGGGAGGGTCCGGCGGGGTGGCTGTACAAAGTGGGGGACAACCCTGCGTGTCTGTGGGTGCCTCCAAGGAGGATACATCCCTGCATGTGCGCATGGGTAAGTGAACTCGACAGGAAGCTCCCCAAGGGCAGAATTATGTTTTGTTCACGACGCTCTCCAGTGACTGGCACATAATAAGCGTTCAATAAGCATTTGTTGACTGAAAAAAAAAGAAAAGAAATAATTATCTTACAGAAACCACTT